GGCAGGAGGACAATTTGCAGGGAAGTTTGCTCTGAACTTCTTTTTTCCTCATTAAAACTTCCTTTGACAAAGCTATCTTATGAAGAATTGTTGGTCACCATGAACCTCAAATCATTGACTTTGGGATAATGGAAATATTTGACTGAAAAGAATAAAACCAATATTCTGATAGTGCACCCTCAGTGCTTACAGCCTAACTAATGACATGCGGACAGTATCGATCAAAGTGAACTGTTCGTAGATGTAGTAGTATTTTAACCTATGCATACAGTCCACAGCCTAGGTGGCATATTACTACAAAATGATTCTCTCTCCATGGACCACCGGTAGTCCCTCGAATATAATTCATTATTATTCATTGCCAATTACATGGAGTTCTTGTGATTGCGCCACGCTGAGTGCTGTTTATGTCTGCCTCAGTTCTGGAGATGTTTAAAGCTGCTTTTCAACGACGGCTGCAAATACATACACACACACATATTCAACTGCTGATGAAACATGCATACTGTGCACTTACTATAATTGCCGTACCTCTTGTGAACTCTATTATGATCTTCCCACATTTGAACTGGTTGTGTTGTTAAAAGAGCGTAGTGTGCTCTCATTTGGTGTATGATATGCTTTTAAACACAGAGCGGCGTTTCTGTGTGGATGGTGTCCCCCTTTTCTTCATAGTTTACATGTTACTGAGCTATTAATGAAAGTATTCATTAGTTAGTTTGTCGGATTTCTGTCAGGTTGTATGACAAGACAACACGATAAAACACACGGCTGTAGTTACAAAGTCACTACGTTCAATCTTGTCTGGATGAGCAAATATCTTTAAGTCAGAGAGATCTAATTTATGGGATGCATTTCATGTGGTTATGGTGATCCAGTATCTCAGCTGTGAATCTGATGGTGCTCGTCCTTGTTCTACTGCAATTACGTAGTCGTGAGGTGCTTGTGGTTTTGCTATTTCCTATTATGGGGAATGCCAAATGCCACATAAATAATTTCTACTGCAGAGAAAAGAAGATAGACTCTCGCTGTTCCTTTGTCAACGACCGCACAGCGTGAAGTAATATGTGCTAAACTTAAAGGTTGAATTTATCTGGAGGAAAGCTTGTTGAAGTTCTCCTTCCTTCCATGATACCAAACTTTCAGTGTTAAATTGTCAACTCCTTCTTCTCCCATCTACCTCGTAGCTGGTCTCATCAACCTATCGTACAGTGTTCCACAACGCAACCCTTCATGTCCCTGTCATCACATCCTCTGTATCTACCTACCTACCTTCCACCTCTGTCCTGTTAGTGCCACTTGTGTCTCTCTTAACAGAAACTATAGATAGACTGACATTATTATGAAGAGAGGCAGAAAGAACATGCAGGTGTAATGGGATCATCTATAAGGTATGTTTGCTCTACAACCAACTCTGTGTCATTGCAGCTCAATGCCACCAGCGCCCAACTTACCCGCTCACCCAACTTCAAAACTCCACCGCTCGTTCAGCGTCAGTAGCAAATGAATTGAAAGCAAAGTTTTTGCCCACTGTATCCAAACACACTTCTCTTTCCATCCCTCTCCAGATTGCTCTGTTAGCCACGTTCCACAAACGGTAAAGTGCTGTGTTGTGTGGCTGAGTGCAGGATGAGTCATTCAACATTTGAAACCGTTTTACAGAAGAGAAAGACAGGGATTTGATGGGGATTTCTCCCGATGCTCAGGTAAATTTAATTTGACAGGTAAACTGAACTTTACTCATCTGAAATAACATTATGTTAAGCTGCGATAAAGGATGGAGACACGGACAACCCCTGCAGGCCATTATTTCTAATTAGTCTATTACCTCTGCCTTAACTTACAGCGCTGCTGTTTGTCAGCAGTTGTTTGCACCTGCCGATAACATTTAGCCGCACTGCTGGAGGCCTAAATGTCAGAGCTGAAAAATGTGGACCTGATATTGGGGGTGTGAAGACAGATACTCGATGTGACAGCTTGGGGGGCATGAGTAACAACATTTGAGTTTATTAGGCTCAAGAGTTGTTACAGATGTTTTAGGAAGCTTTAAACTGCAATAGGCCATTGGCATATGAGCATGCGCAAGTGCCTGATAGTGAGAGATGGTGAGTAGCAAAAAAAAGTGGAGAAAACAACACATTTTGAGAGCTATTTATGTATGTAAGTGTGTGTGTTGTGTGCGGTTCTATCCCGCAGGCTAATAATCATTGCCTCTCTCCAGATGGAAAAGTGTACCCGACTCAGCGGAGGTCTTCCTGCTTCCTCAGGGCAAGGGTAGTAGGGGGTAGTCATGTGTGTGTGTGTGTGTGGGTGTTTGCGTGTGTGTGTGTGTGTGGGTGTGTGTGGAGGTGGTGTGTGTGCATTGGGTTTGAGTGCATATGCAGGGAGGTATTGAACTGTCACTTATGGAGAATCCTCCAGGGGACGAGCATCGCTAAGAGAAGAGGGAGAGGAGGCCAAATTAGATTCAAGGCTTTTGGCACCATCAATCTTCAACAGACAACTTTGTTATCACTGTTGTCACTTGTTTTACTGAAAAACTGACAGTGTATATATGAATGATATAAGAATCATTCATATATTTGAGAAAATCTCCAATTTACATGTAGTATGAACTGTACCAGTGAGGGCTTTTTATTTATTTATTTGTTTTACCAGTGTATATTAGCTCAGTTACTCTATATAGGGATTTTTGATTTTTCCCTTCCGGTTTGTGTGAAGAACACAGGACAGGCGTTTTACAGAGCAATTATGTATACTGTCGCAGACAAAAAGCTGTGTGCAGGCACCTTTTTCCTCTCTCTCTTCCCCTTGCTAGTTCAGTTCAATTCAGTAGTTTTTTCACAGGACTCCAATTAATAGGTTTTGTATAAAATACAACAATAACATTCCACAAATCTATCTCTTTCACTCAGGCAGACACTCACTGATATCCACTCTTTCTCAAGCATTTTTCACATAAACACCAAGGGCAAGCTTCACATTTTCAATGAGCGAGAGCAGCTTCTCTGGAGCTCCTTGGCTTTGTTTGAATGACAGGTGGAAATGGGCTTCTTTCACACCGCTGTCACAGTGCAGATAGGCGATGTCACAAGGTCTACCTGTAGCAGAAATGTCTCCGAGTAGCAGTGAGCTATACAGAACACCCACTCAGTGTTATTACACATAGGTGTGCTCACACATATTCATACACGGCAAATGATGGAAAATACAGTTTCTTCACGACCACTTGTTGGTTGAGTGTAAATTATTCAGACGTTCACCGATGCACACACACATTTACACATTCCTACATCTACATAATATGACATAAACCCACATCTATAGGCGGGAGAGCAAAGTGTTGGCACAGTATTCGTGCTATGCTTACAGGGCAGTGTCTGTTAAAGTTGATAGTATTTTCTGTTGTGATTCTTGTATAAAAATGTATTTCACCTCGATCTCAATTTGGTGTAAAATAAATAACCATTTAATGTCATTTTCCCACTTCATCTGAAAACGTGAGGGACAAAACATTTTTCGGATATGTATTTATTTTGCCTTCACCATCTGATACAAGCTCTTGGCGTAGAAGCACTTAAGTAATTCACAGTAAATTGCCTCCCTCATCTGCCAAGTTAAGCTCCCATTGGGAGAAATGAACCACCATGAGAGAGTTGAATCGCATCTTGTCTGGTCTTGTTCTTTCCCAGGGCTTTAATACCTTTTAATGTTGTGATAATTAGTGCAGCCAAGAAGAGTGAGAGGATAAAAAAACAAAAACATGACACTGTGTGCAGCAGGTGTGTTGAACCGGTGCCCCCTGGTGGTTGCAGTGTGTAAGTTGCTTGTTTGGCGTTAAAATAATGCAGACTTGACCTCATCTGCCCAGTATTCTGATGCATTTACTAATGCAAAGGCTGCCTCTCTGGTTCTACTGTTGTAAAGAAACTGGTAGTTTGAAAACGATTCAGAATGTTTTATTGTAGCAGCATATAGGGCTCAGGCTTGAATGACAGGACCGAGGCTGGAAAGAGCATTGTGCATTAGAAGGTTGCCATCTAGAGGCGGGATGCAGGCAGTGCAGAGTGATGCACTGAGCTGGATGTGTTTGCTGAACCATTTCATGGGGTGAGATGGAGAAGTGTGAAGCGAAAGGGTTAGGAGGGGAAAAGGCACACTCTCATGCTACGCCGGTCCTACCACCACCTCCTCCCTCACACAGACACACATACACACACACACACACACACACACACCATCTCCACAGTGACTAGCTGTGCGGTTGACAGGCAGATCTCCCAGAGGTCTCGGTGCTCCCCAGGGGAGCCGGTGGTCAGTGAGGTGGATATTCTTAATGTCAGTCCCTGACTGTCAGGGCAAAACACCTACTTACTGTGAAGTGGTGACTGAAGAGAGTCATTACTACAGTGAAATAACTATTATTAATGTATTAGGATAACATTCCAGCGATGTGGCCACATATCATTCAAGGTTCCCTTTTTAAATTTAATGCCCCAGCTAAACTTGAGAATGCGTTGTTCAGGTATGTTCAGATATTTTGATGCTTAATGCAACAACATTCATATTGACATTTATTTGAAAACATTTTTTTTTTTTTATCGTGACAATTTGTAGTACATCTAACAGGAGGCGTGATGTGTTGTCATCAACACCCGTAAACCCATTTTTTCCCCTACACCAGAGAATCACTGAATCACTCCTCAGCTCGTCCAATCATGCCAAATCTCTCACAAAGAGAGTTTTCAGGGTGTGGGTCTGCATGAGTGTGTCATCATGGAAAAATGTGGTCCTTGAAACACACACTGTAGCAGGAACTGAGTACTTTGCCAGGTGTTCATATCTCTGTGTCTCTGTCTGACCCGTGGACAGGTTATGTCACATTTTGCGTCCCAACCACACAAGATGCAGTCTAGATCGGTGTTTTTGAGATAATAATTAACCTTGAAGATGGTTGTGGTCCGAGCAAGGGCGACGGAAGGATGGCAAGGTGCCCCCCCCCCCACCCCACACACTTTATGCCCTTGGCCCGATTTGGCGTTGCGGTCTCTTGTTAATTTCTGTTTTAATCTTTTGTTTTGACAAACATTTGAGTGTTTGATTATTGTGAGTCAGTCACTCGCTGGAGAAAAACAGTCTGAGTGACTAGAAATAGAAGTAAAGGCACACCAAACACCAACAAAGATGAAGCAACCCATTGCTGACTAATTTAACCTTTTTTGTTTTTGTGCTTCATAATCACGCATTTTAGTCTTTGAGAGCTGTTCTTCACTGATTAGGTTTGCCCTTGTTGATATGATCCTGGTCCCTACGGTGCAGCTCTATGGATGGTTGCAGCGTGTACGCCAATCACTTTTAGAAAACGTAATTTTCTAATGCAACTAAATCAGTGAGAATACTCAATGAGCCTTTAATGAAACCTGATAACCCACGGACTTGTGTAGAAATAGACAACAGATATTATTGTCCATGCTTAAAGTTAACACAAAGGGAGATGACTAAAAATATTTGGGTCTTACAGCTGTTAAAAATGGGCATTTGGCGTGAAAGGCTAGTTCATTTGTTAGCAGTATAATGTACAATACATATACACAATGTGATATCTTTCTTTAGGAATGCAGCTTAGTATTCGTGCCAATACAGCAAACTGAATTGCATCAAATGGGAGTGGGGGAGGTGCAATAAGACAATCTCATCAAAAGCTCTATTTTTTACTGTTCTTGTTTTACCACTTTAGAGCTTTTATGCATAAATAAAAGGACACACATGCAATTCAGTAAGTGGGTTGTACTCCTCTCCAGTTGTTTCATGTGCTTCCATCCTCAAACTCCATCTGAATTCATTCTGTGAGACAGGGCTTTGACTCCACTTCACTCATTTCCCTTTTGACCACCATACAGTGCCTCGTCACATCTCTTCGCCTCAATTCTCTCCATCTTTCCCCCCCTCTCTCTTTCTCTCTCTCTCTCTTTCTCACCATCGCTCATCTTTTTTTTTTACCATGCGCAGAGCCAATTTCTTCTCTTCCATCCTGTCCCCATAGTTTCAATTTCAGCTTGTTCGTCAGTTGTGTTGGATCTTATTTTATGTCTCCCCATTCACTCTCTCCCTCCATCTCTCTGTCTCTTTCTCTTCCATTCTCCCTCTCTCTCTCCCTCCTCCTCTCATCTTAGAGACAGTAGTGTGCCTGCAGCCTCAAATCTAAGCCGCTGCCTGTCAGGCAGCTCCGGTTTTGCGCTCTGCGCTACTCTCCTTTTCTCTTCTCTCCCCTCTGCGCTATACTGCACTGCACTGCACTGCTCGTCTCTCCTCTCCTCACCTCACATCTCCATCTCTTTCACTCCTCTTTCTCTTTCTCTACCTGCATCCCTCTCGCACTACGCGCTCGTATCTCTGTTGTGCATTACTGCACTCTGCTCCATTGTTTGGGGAAATACAGTACACTCTGTTTTTTTTTTTCCCGCTGCCAGAGCTGGGTACACTCTGGCTACTGGTGGAACAGGAATCGGATGTTCCTGGTGCTCCAGGTTTGGCTTGCCTCGAACTCCTTGGATCTGTGTGGGCCGGAGAGGAGGAGAGGGCAGGGAGGGAGGGAGGGGAGGGGGGCAGAGAGCTGACCAGGTGAGAGCTTCATCTGCTCGGGGGAGTAAAGGCTTCACAGTGGTGGCAGTAGCGGTTGATGGTTGTCCGTCGAGGGTCATGCCCTGGGACCTGCGTGCTTTTCGACTGTTGGAGTTGGAGATCCTCTCCTATTTTTGCCCCCCTGGTGGGGCAGCATTGATCCTGGTCCCGGTAAAAGCTGCCGGGCACCAGTGGCTGCACCGTGAAGAGTGGGCACCATGAACCAGCTGGATGCACCACGGCCACTCAACTGGACCATCAGAAAACTGTGCCATGCTGCCTTCCTGCCATCTGTACGCCTGCTAAAGGTAAAAGAGGGGCAGGGAGAGTGGGGATGAACTAAAAAAAAATAATGGAAAAATGGAGATGTATAGTGAAATATTTCAGGCAGCCCTTCTGCTATCCTGCCACTTTCCAAACGAAGATAAGTAGAAAGAGGTGTTGGGATACAAAATGAATGCTGTAAAATGCCACATCCCTGGCTTCCTTTAAGTATATGTAGTGTACAACCCAGTGGATGTAAGGCAGGCTTTAAGAGGGGAAAGAGGGAAGGATGTAGTCAAAAATGACGAGAAGTGTGCCAAAACTGCCAGCATAACACTAAGCTTTGGAAGTATGGGGATGCGCAAAGAGGGGAGGAAAAAAATGGTGGCGGGAAACGCAGGAGCATGGTCTTAAAAAGATGCACACGGAGAGTGAGACAGAGAAATTGAAGAAGCAGTGACAAAAAGTGTGCTGAAAGAGAAAAAGCAAAGATTTATACATGATTGAGAGCAAGAAAAAAAAATGAAGGAAGAGAGAGGACGAGATATGGAAAGAAATCAGAGGGCGAGTGTGGATTACAGGGGTCCAGTGTTAGAGATAGCAAGGGTGAAGGTGAAGAAGAATGCGAGAAGGCGAAAGGAAAGGTAGATGGTGAATGAAAGAGGTAGAATATGCGGGAAGAGAGGCTTTGTAGGGATGGGTGAGCAGAAATGTTGAATTGGACATGGCAGACAGGGACTGAGGAGATTTAGGAAGGAGGTTGATGTGCAACATCAAATCCCAGTAGACAGGTAATAAAAATGTATTCAACAATGCAGCTCAATGGGAAACCTTGTGTTGGGCTTGTGTATTTTGTTAGACGTCACCTGGGTTAAGTTGGAAAACCACACATTTTCTTTTCATCACCTGAGCAGAGGTGTGTAATATAATGTGTTGTGTTTTATTGACTCAGTTAAGTGCCTTTATAGGGCTTGTTGACAGATATTTGTAGCCTAAAATCTCATCTTTATTCATGTATGTGCTTTTCCAATTACTGGCACTGTTTAAGGAGAGCTATTGTTGGAGGTCTTGAATGCCTCTTCTCCCCACTCCTTTGATCTGGCTTTATCAAAGTGTCTCACAGAATAGTGTCCCAGTGATGCTGAAGCACACGACGAGAGCGCCTGGGCTCACATGTCAGCCATTTGCATTTGTACAGCCTGGTTAAATGAGCATCAATGTAATCCTTGATTGAATGGGCATAGGGTCTGTTTGTGTGTGTGTGTGTGTCTGAGGACGCACACGGCGTGGTTGTTAACATGTGATTACTGTGGAACTATACATGTCAATACAGGTTTGCTAGTGTTGTCTCAGTGCATGTGGGGTGTTTGGAAATGGAAATGGAATGCAAAAGTAATGAAATAATAACATTTCTAAATCATAGCTTATTTTATTCCCAGAAACATTTTGTGAAGTAAATCTACTCCAAACTCCCTCACAAGTCAAACTGAACTCAAACGCTTCCCAAGACTTGAATTGATTATGCAATCAAGTGGGACCTTTTGGATTTAGTGCATTAACACTGAATACATCATTCCCTCTGTGGGAGCATACTAAAATAAGTTTTATTTGACTTTAGGGTTTCCAGCTGTGGAATAGAAAATGTTCCCATCCCATAATGCCTCTGTGGCCAAGGACGGCTTACTCAGGAGCTTCAGAATTAACAGCATCATTACCGCAGTGTTCTCTTCTGTTTACCTGTTGACATGAATTAAAAACGAGTTTTTAAATATTGATAGTGTAAAAAATCATTTTGCTTCAGGGTGGATCTTTGCTTCAGAATGACGTTTTTGATTGTCACCGCTTTTGAATCGCTGACTCTTCATTTTGAGGTGAAAGTCTTCCAGTTTTAATGTCAGTGTCTGTATCGGCACCACGGATGGAGCTTCAGGAGATAATGGGCCGCGAAACTGTGTCTTGTGTATGTGAATCCTCCGAGGCAAACATCAGGCCGTCACTGTGAAACGTTATAAGCCTGTCATTATTGTTGGCAATTTCTGCATGACAAGCACTTTCCTCCCATGTCCCTCCAACTTATTACCTGCTGCTGCTGCTGCGCGCTGCATACTTATGCTTGTGTGTGCACCTGAGTGTGACTACAATTTATAGGCTGTCAGTGATGTTTTGTGACTTCCTTGGACATGAAAATCTGTCTGACAGATTATGTCTGTGTGTGTGTGTATGTGTGTGGGCGTCGGTGTGTCCTTATGTCTGTGCATATGCCTTTCTATGTTCGAGTATGTGCATTTAGAAAGCAGTGCTACAGGCACAGTTGTCGTTGCAGCAAATATGTAACGTGCAAGCTCTGGTGTGTGAGCATGTGATTTGAACCCTGTGATTCGCTCACAGTGGGAGAAACAGTTGCAAAAAGTGTTGATAACAGCAAGAAATGTTACCGTCTACATCATTTAAGCTCTACCACCTTAAGTGTCTCCTCAAGGCCAGTGGTCCTTTTATGAGTCGATGCAGTTAATCAAAAAACTATTAACACTTTCACCGTCTTCCTTGCCCACATCCATTATCCTTAAGCTGACCACTTAACGAGTGGAAGTGTGTGTGTGTGTGTGTGCGCGTGAGACTGACGTGAAGCATGCTCAGATATTGATCATCCGAAGATATCATTTCCACAGTGGCAGTGGCACAAGCTCATATCATTGATGGTGGAATTCACTCAGTTTGACGTGTCATCCATTAGAGAGCCGCGACTGACTATGTGTAAAAGTTTTACTAGTCTTGTGGGGACATAATGTGATGATAAGGTTAAGGTTATTCTAAATGTCAGGATTAGGCTGGAAGCGGTTATAGTTAATCAAGTTATCTTTAATGAGGAAGATTTGCTATCCAGTTGAAATAATGTGGATGTGTTTAAGTTGAAGATATTTCCCAAATACTTGTTTTTGTCTGCACGTGTGGGAGTGCTCCACTAAATCAGCTTTATTAATGATCCCAAACTGACAATGAATCAGGTTTGTACTGATATGACTCCTCAACAAGTAATCGTTTTCCTTACAACAGCTTCCTATTGACCTTTAAAATGGCAAGCATTTGGTCAAATGCCACTTCATAGAAGACTAATGCCCCTATTAGACAGGGGGGGGGGGGGAGACACCTAAAAAGGAAGAGGAAGCATTGCTGGAGTTTCACTCTGGTCCATGTGCTCTCATCCTGTGTGTCGAGCCAAACGGCCAGCAGATCACTGTCCCTTTGTACCCTTGTGCTCTTTAAGAAAGAGTGACGGCGTAGATTTCATCAGAAACGTCTTTCTGTTTGACCTTGTGTCTTGCTCCTGAAATGATATTATATATTTGCCATGTTGACGGCTGAGCTTTTTTACAAGTTTAAGCCTGGGGTTTAATGTGGACTCAGCGCGGGCTGAAGTGTGAAACAGGGAAACCGTATTGGACAGAGAATCGGAAATGGAAAATCTATCGTCTTTCATCCTCTCTTGGCAACTTTAATACTTCTTTCATTCACGAATATATTTACCAAAGCCCCTATCTCTTCTTTTGATAATATAGGTGACGGCCTCTCAAATATTTAACATTTTGATTGTGTGCTTTTATAAAGTCTCACTTTTGATCGTCATTCTACATTAGGTTGTCTTAACTCTTCTCTATCACCTTCAAGGGAATTTTCTGACACATCTCACCCTTTTAGGAAATCAGATGGTGTGAACACCTCTGCAGTAATTGTGTGAAGAAAATGCTGCACACAGTGAATACAGTAATAATCTTTTCTTTGGCTTTCTTCATGAAGTCGATCATTTTCTGCCCTCCCTCTCTTGTCTCTGCATTTCTTCTTCTTCTGTCTGTCTCTCTTTCATCTTCTGCCTCTTCCTCTTTTTGATACAATGTCCTCTCTCTTCTCCTTCTGTCTCTCTCTCTCTTTCCTTTTTATTCCGTTGCATCCCATAATCATGAAGCATAGATAACACTCCATCTTATGCAAAATATATGGGGGACGGGATGTTGCTGCTAAAAAAAAAAAAAAAATCTCTCTAATGCTAAAAATAAATTTGCGTTACATAAAAAGATTCACTGTTGCAGTGCTTTATATCATCTAGTTTAGCTGCGAGGAGTGAGTTTGCATGGGAGTTCATCCTACACACCAATCTAACATAATGATATTTGTAAAAAATCTCCTATTTTTAATGTGAATTCTGACACCTACAATATACAGTAAAACCAAGGAGTAAAGTTTAATCAGTCACCCGTAGGTGGCACCACACATTTTTGTATCTATGGTAGATACAGTAGATGGATACAAGATCTCAGCACATGGAACTTACTAAAACTAAAAACCTTGACAGAGATGGGTTTCTTGTTTCCATACATACATAAGTACTCTTTTAGTATGTATTCCACATATGTTTATGCAGCATGAGAACAGAACTTTTTGAATATTGTATTCTCTATGTATCGGATCTATATTAGGGAGTTGGTTTGGTGTCCTTTAAATAATGTAGATGTTGCACCAGTGCAGCAGCCAACAGTGCTACACCTCAGCATATATTTGCTTTAACTGACCAAAGAGTGTAATACATTACTATGTTGTAATCACCCGGTGGATAAAAAGTGTCTTTATAACAGATGTAATGTGATTGTTGGAGCAGCTAAAGTCTTTGCATTATTCTCCCCCTGTATGTTATGCCTCATTTAAACATTCTGATAAATCATTTAGATTGGGACAGCTGGGATTGTTCCAATTGCCAAGCTCTCAGAAACCGCTGATTATCCGATTAAACTTGCCATGTTGCACGATAGTGACACCCATAATACGCACATTACTTTAGGACCGTTGTTTCCATTTTGTTGTTGTTGAGTTTATTTAAGCAGGGGAAGTGCACATAAATCCCAAGAGTGCCGAGTGTTGCTCTCAATAACGTTGTTCCAATAGGTTGTATCTTATACTATTTGTCGTCTCTACATGTAAACAACAAAGCATGTTCCTCACAACATTACAACAAACAAAGTGGCCACAAACAAAACAATCCCAATTGGTAAAA